CAAAAAAAAAGGATTACCGCATGCCCACGTTCCCATATAGCTTAAAGAAAAGTTGCGGCCCAGCCAAATAGACGACAAAATAAGCGTCGAGATTCCGGATCCTGAGCAAGATATTGTATGATACCATCGTCCGAAATATTATTCACGGTCCATGTGGAGCACGATATTCAATATCGCTATGTATGAAAGAAGGAAAATGTACAAAGAAATTCCCTAAACAACTATTAAAGGAAACAGTGCACAATGTCAATGGCTACCCTTTATACAGACGCAGAGCTCCCGAAGATGGTGGCAGGAAAGTTACAATGAAATCTCGCGCTGAAGCGTACGAAACCTTAGATAACAGCTGGATTGTCCCGTATTCGCCCATTCTATGTAAAATGTTTAATGCCCACATTAATGTAGAAGCATGTAGCTCTGTCCGCGCAATCAATTATATCTGTAAGTACATAAATAAAGGAAGCGACCAAGCAATTTTTAATCTCAGGAGTGAAGGTGAGGCAAATCCCGTTAATGAAGTACAGATCTTCCAAGCAGGGCGTTACGTCAGCAGTAATGGGGCAGCGTGGCGTCTCCTTGGCTTCCCTTTACACGAAAGGCACCCAACAGTTACTCACCTTGCTGTGCACTTAGAAAATGGAGAGCGTGTATATTTCACCGAAAGAAATTTCCAAGAAAGAATTTTCCGAGTTGCTTTACCGCCAAAAACTACACTTTCACAGCAACAGCTTTCTTTCAACTTTGTCAAACCGACCCCTTTGCAAAAACGTTGTTATATTCTGAAGTATCTTCTTTTTTAAACAATAACAAAATAGGTACCCCAAAAGATAATAATAATACATTTATTTATTGAAGAAAACCATATTGACACTACAAAGTTGAAGTCCTGACTTCCGAACTAGCAATAGCTGTGTGTCGGGATTCAGTTCCTTCCCATATCCACATAGTTACAATTACAAAATGGCTTATCAGCTTATCGCAAATCAGAACAAGGGAACAAATTAAATAATATTTCTACCAAACAAAAAAAAATAAACAAAAATTGCATGAGTATGTGTGTTGCAACCTGAAAACTAATTTGTACAACCAGTGCGTGTTGCCAGTGATGACATGTGGAACTGAGACGTGGTCCTTCACTGCTGGCCGTATGAGGACGCTCAAAGTCGCTCAGCGAGCTATGGTAAGGGCTATGCTCGGATATTTCTCTGCATGATAAACTTAGAAATGAGGATATCCGCAGTAGAACCAGAGTTACCGACATAGCCCAACGGATTAGTAAGCTGAAGTGGCAATGGGCCGACCATATAGCTCGAAGAACCGACAACCGTTGGGGAAAAAAGGTTTTCGAGTGGCAGCCTCGTACCGGTAGGCGAAGTGTAGGGCGACCCCCCACTAAATGGAGTGACGACCTGGTAAGACATGCAGGAAGTCGATGGATGCAGGTGGCTCAGGACCGTGCTTTGTTGCATACCTTGGGGGAGGCCTATGTTCAGCAGTGGACTTGTGAAGGGCTGTAATGATGATGATGATGATGTGTGTTGCATCTATGATGAGTACATGCTGTGCGCGTGTATGTGTACATGTGTGTGTGTGTGTGTGTGTGTGTGCGTGTGTGTGTGTGTGTGTGTGTGTGTGTGTGTGTGTGTGTGTGTGTGTGTATGTGTGTGTGTGTATTCGTGTGCGGATGAGTGTGTTTTTATTATCCTCCTTTAGAAATGACTCATACCATTGAGTTATTTTAATAGATTTTTCGTCTCGTTGTATGTCAACTTACGCAACCATAATAAATCTTTGGATTTTAGTTGGTATATATACTTAGTTGACGCGCAGAAAATACGTTTGCCGTTTAGAATAATGCAGAAGTTTGATGTCTAAATGGAAGATATAATATTACTTTGAGGAGAGATCTTTGTGCTCGTTCAAGTTCTATTAAATGTGTTTCATCTACTGCCCCCCACGAACATAATACATTCCGCAAGTGCTTTATAGAGTGTAAGTTCTGAAACAGTGCGCAATTCTCCAAACATATAAACTAATTTCCTAAGTCTATTAGCAACAGATGTTATGTGCTGCTTCCAGTTGAGCTTATCATCAATACTTATTCCTAGATATTTTATAACTTTAACTCTTTCAATTAATGAGCATGGATTTGTAAAGTAAAAGATTTGGGTAAATTAATATTAGTTTTACTGAAGCACATATATTTTGTCTTACTTGTGTTGAGTGTTAGCAGGCTGTTTTCTAACTATGATGTAATAGTACGAATACCGTTTTCAGCAAGATGATGTACATATTCCCAAGACTTGCCATGAAACAGTATGACTGCATCATCAGCAAACATTTGAATATCAGCACCCTTCAGATTATTTTTACACAGATCGTTTATGTAAATTAAAAAAAGCTTAGCCCAAGTGTACTGCCTTGTGGCACACCGTAAGTGGAGCTAAATTCATTACTTAATAAGCCATTTACCCTAACACGTTGCTTTCTATCCGATAGGTAGTCTTGAAACCACATAAGTGCATTTCGCCAAATTCCCATATTTTCCAAACGTTTTAATAATATTAAGGAACAGATACGGTATCGAATGCCTTCTGAAGGTCCAGGAAAACTCCTATCACTTTTTCATTTGTATCAAGATAACGTGTAATATTTGTAGTGAATTGAAGATTGTCTCTGGACCTGTTAGCACGAAAACCAAATTGGTTTTTATCTAGAAGCTCGTTATTTTTTGTTTTTTTTCATGGTTTTTGTTTTTCAGTGTTCTGAATAATTCATTAATCGCTTGTTGAATATTTTTTCGAGAACCTTAGAAATTGTGCATAAAAGTGAAATTGGGCGATAGATAGTCGGTGAAGATTTATCCCCAGATTTATATATGGGATAGACAATTGCTTTTTTTATAGATTTTGGGGAAACACCATATTGAAATGTCAAATTAATTAAATATGCAATAGGTTCCGAAATGTATTTTATGTTGTCTTTTAGAATGTTGGACGTGACACAAACATATCCCGATGAGTAACTTGATTTAATACTGCAGTTGACGCTTGATACTTCCACTGAATCAGTTAAGTAGATGGACATTGAACCATTTGGTGCATCATACCATAGGGTTGTCTGTACTTTTTATGTTAAGCTAAGGGTGTGGGTTCGATTCCCACACGAAACAAATATCTGTATGGCTTAAAAATATTTTATATTGTTCCGGGTCCGGTAAACTGCCCCCACAATACAGGAGAAAATCCTAGTGTAGAGGTGAAGTAACTTCTTGTAAACTCGCTTTCATTCTAAGATCACTCATACTCTCTCATACTTAAACATATATTCTTCAAGCTGCTGGATACATGCCTGCCGCACTGCCCCAGTGTGTACGGGACACTGGGGGACGTCACATGTCTTTGATGTACCTACTTAAATCCTCAGAAATGCAGGTTTTCTCACGAAGATTTTCTTCACTGCCGAGCACGCGATAAATAAATACTTAAAATTGTAATAAACAATAGTAAAGCATTGCGGCCAGCGGGGATCGAACCCAGGTTGCTCGCATACTGTGAAATTTAGGGCGAGCGCTTAGCCGCTGTGCTACCACGGCTCTTTCCTATACTAATAATATCTAAATTCACGACTCTTATAAAATAAAATAAAAATATTCTGAATCGCTACTTATACAACACACAAAAATCAACTGCACTTTAACCTTTACACGAACATATACATATTGCATAATTTACTACTGCATTTGATAATCTTAATATATATAAATTACATGTCACGTTGTTTGTCCGCGATGGACTCCTAAACTACTTAACCGGTTTTAATCAAATTTGCACACTGTGTGTAGTTTGGCCTAACTTGAGAGATAGGACAGTTTTTTTTTGCTCATGAGTGACCCAAAATTTTGTTTGCGAAAATAAGGATTTTTAATAGGGCATGACAAAGTGTCGTCGAAAAGGGCAGAACGTCTGCCTGGCAAGCTAATATGACTATAAAAATTCAAATTCCATTTTCAAAAGTTTTATAAATAATACATGAACTTAACTAGTGAAACATTTATTAAAATATTTTTTAATTACAATAATTAGCAAAGTTAGAATCTTCCGGCAGTTGCAACTGTGAGCGCTTTCGAGGTCGCAGGGTAGCCCCAGTGTGCAGCTGGTGGAAAATACCGCAATCGGGATGGATAAGCCGACACCATGAAGTTAGTTGTGTTGTTTTACATCACTGCAGTCATACTAAAGTTAATGCCTATGGACACAGAAATGTTGTAATTAGTAATGGGGATTTAATTAAATGAAGCTTTTGATGGTAGCATAAGATTAAAAATTAAATTTACACTTTTACAGTCGAATAACGTAAATTCTATGAAGCATCATCACTTCAACAAATAAACATCTAATAAGAACCCGGTAGATCTACGAATTGCTGATTTGATAAGCATGGCGATCACAGTAAATCCTACTACATAAAATTACATTTATGAAAGAAAATCTAAATTATACGTATACGACATTAACGTTACGAGTAATTACTGTTAAGTACCTACTTTCTTAGTAGCTACATACATTATTTCTATGCTATTTAGATTTTTTATTATTTTATATATTTAGAGAATTTCGTTTGACGGAGGATGAAGACTAAGGTGACTGTGATGATGTCACCTTCTTTATGATTGACTCAGAAGATGGGTAACGGATCTTAGTGATGCTACGTAGAACCTTCAACTCATTTTCAAAAAGGTTCATGAACACCTAGATGACTATGATGATATCACCTAGCTGACGTGATGATATAGGTAAATTAAAACAATGTGTAAACTAATAATCTACTAACGGTAGTACTAAATTTTAATTATATATATATATAAAACAACTACAAAACCAGGGGATTTGCAGATGCGTTGCCGGCCTTTTAAAAAGGAGTAGGCTCTTTTGTTTTTATATATGTATATTAGAAGAACATTATCATATCACGTAGACGTGATGACATATATATTTTTTTTACCTGAGGGCGTTAGGGTTAATGGCGCCGTATCCCGCGCCGGCCGGTAGCGTCCAGCCTCCTGTACCAGCGACTGCATTAGCATTTGCACTTGCGCGAGCGTTACCACCCCCTGAAATATATAAATGGATAATTTTCTTAAGTTTGTATTTTAATATTGATTACTATACGTTTTACTAGAAATTCTCTCATAGCAGGTAGGTACCACCCTAAAATGAAATTGCACTGGGTTTCCTTTTTATGTATACGAGAGATAGGAAACCAAAAAATTTCACTAATGTATGAATTGTCGAATGACACGCCCAACGTTGTAAGAATAGTTAGGGTCTGACCTAAAGTCGTAAAAGCAAAATTTGAACTTGAAAAAATCGGACCTATACAAACAATTCCAAATAAGAAAGTAAAGATTCGTCTTACTTCTATTTTTAAAATAATTTTAAACATTTATACGTAACAATCTTTAATGTCTTCATAAATAATTGCAATAAAATGCTTGTAGGAATAAATGACAACGCATATTAAAGCTGCTCTGAAAATGAGGGCAACGGCCACATTATCACTCCGATAAGTGGATCAATCGTCGTCTAGAACGTTTTTATACTGTGGTTTTTTGTAGGCAATGACCGATCGCTGGCGGTTCGGAACCGTTACGTGAATGGTAGGCAAAGATACTGTCGGGAAACGAACGTGCTCTACACGTCAAATTCTTCTACTGAGCTGCCCCATTATAGGTTTCTACCGACGGTCACACTCGTGCATACTAAACGACGTTCCATTAAGACAAACTGAGCATTGTATGAATGAGCAAATTGACCCTCGGAATGCAGAAGACTATTTAAAGTTCATTTTTTTATATAAAATCCTTGTGCATGTAAACATGAATAGGATCTTCCAATTTGCATTGCCATTGTCTAATTAGGAAACGCTAGAAACGTGTATGATGTAAAAAATACGTTAGCAGGAAATCGTGACGATGTTTAAAATGAAACTGTGTTAGAAGGCATCGTCACGAACATCAAAGGAAACTGATGTTTTCAATAAAATCCAATTAACAATTGGTTTCGCATTTAGGCGTAGCAAAATACGAATAAGAAATCAGGCAAAAAATATAGCAATAAATTGAATAATATATGCACATCTTTAAAAATGTGATAGCGCTTTGTTAAAATAAACGTCCGTCATTACCATCCTCACCGTCAGCCTTTTTTATCTATGTTTTTCCATACATTCCAAATTTAATAATTATCTTAAAATACAAGTATGGATTTTAAGATAATTATTAAATTTGGCTAGTAGAAATTTATTGTGTAAAGAAATAATAAAATTTCACATATAAGGTAACTTAAAAATATTTAGTAGTAGGTACAACTAGGTTACGCGGTGATCATGTATAAATAAAATGCTTCATTTTGTAATATTTGAAGACCTTTACAATTGGGCATCAATATATTTCAAATAAAAAAAAATATAGAGTGAAGTATGTCAACTATGGAGTGTAGAAGTAATGTCAACCTATCGTAGACTATTTTTTTTAAAAGATTTTAGAGATGAGAGGCGGCACTGATATTGGACAGTAGGTTCTGATTTTACCTGATTTATAAATCGGTATAACTTTAGCTATTTTTAGGGAAATAAACTCGGAATTTTCAATTTCAATTCGTTGACTACATTTTTTTACATATTCATCATCTCACTAGTTGTTGTTGGCACTAATCTTGAAAAATCTTTAATAGGACCATTTCCTCTAACATCTAAATGACGTATAATATGATATTTTGTAGGGATATTTTATATTTACATATTAATCAAATATTATTACTACTACGTAAATACGTACAACTATCGTAAATCAAAACCGATTTAAATACAGTTTCCAGAATGTCAATGCGTGTGGCAATGACATTGACTTATTTAGCATCAAAAAAAATATCGATGACATCATTTATAATCTGGTATATATGTGCTCCTAATTATCCTTACAAATAACTAATAACTAATAAATAAAGTACCTACCTAAAGCCATGCATTGACATAGAATAGTTACTTTTTAAAACTCCTTATCAACTATCGTTAGTAAGATAAAACTATAACATCGTAAGTACCTACTATGTCATTTGTTTTTAATACACCACACGTAAATTAAACGAAAACAACACTCTCTACTTAGAAAGAACACATTCAAAACATAAATTTACTTATAACTCGTTAAGTAGTCCAGAAGTAATAGTACAACATGCTTGACATTACTTTCACGTAAGAGCTTGCAAAGAATACAGTAGTGGCTTTAACGGTTTCGAAGAAGCACTAAGCAACTTCGAAACGAGACGGATGTTGATGTACTTCGATGCGCAACTTGTATTGCTACAGAAATATCTTTGTTTCCTGACATTTATAATTGAAAAACGGGTATGAAAATTCCTTTAAAGTATACCCTAGAACTAGAAGAAGTTACCTACTATTACGCTTGCGTATCTTTGGTGATATGTTATTTAGAATATTAGCTTTTTAAAACCGATATTTTTTTTATTTTCTAACGTAACAACTAGTCAATACTCATAGTCGATAAAAATTATTCACATTATAACGTTTTAGGGTTATCAATTCCCTTTTGAAAAATTTGAGAAATTTTTAATTCGTGAAATTTTGTGTCAATAAATTTAATATAAAACGTATATATAATGATTTTTAAGCGGGTTTACCGCTAGAAATTATTAAGCGGATGTTTTGACCGCAGATCTTTGGATTTGAAGTAGTTATATTATATAGCCATAAAGTTTTAAAAATACTTACAACCGCTAGCGATTACGTTAGCGTTTGCGTTTGCCTCAGCGCCACTGTATCCGTAAGGGTAAGGGCTCAAAGAACGACGAACTCTACGCAACGGTATCGGAGCAGACGCATGCCCTTCGGCATCAATTGTATAGTATGCACGTGGTACGTAGAACTGGCCATCTGGAAAATTTCATTAAATGTTAATATATGTTACAAAACATATAATACACGGCTATTTTCGTTACATAAGTGACGGCAAAAATGTCCACTACCTCATATCGCGCCTAGTTATCGTAATCAAAATAAAAAATAATATCGAAATGGTAGATGCGCAGCAGCATCTTTCTCATAACAAGTCAAAATAAAAAAACTACTGTTACCATCGCGCCTGACAAACGTAGCATCTTTGACAAATATCCCCTCTATATGGAAGCAATCTACGGGCCTGTGGACCATTGATGGATGAACAATGGACTTTTGATGGGCTTTCGTGATGATCATCATCATCATCACAGCCCTTCACAAGTCCACTGCTGAACATAGGCCTCCCCAAAGTAATGCCACAAAGCACGGTCCTGAGCCACCTGCATCCATCGACTTCCCGCACATCCTACCAGGTCGTCACTCCATCTAGTGGGGGGTCGCCCTACACTACGCCTACCGGTACGAGGCTGCCACTCGAGAGCCTTTCTTCCCCATCGGTTATCGGTTCTTCGAGCTATATGGCCGGCCCATTGCCACTTCAGCTTACTAATCCGTTGGGCTATGTCGGTCACTCTGGTTTTACTGCGGATATTCCTCATTTTCGAGTCTATCACGCAGAGAAACTCCGAGCATAGCCCTCTCCATAGCTCGCTGAGCGACCTTGAGCGTCCTCATACGGCCAACAGTGATGGACCACGTCTCTGATCCGTAAGTCATCACGGATCAGAGACGTGATAGGCAGGTCCTTCACTGCTGGCCGTATGAGGACGCTCAAGGTCGCTCAGCGAGCTATGGAGAGGGCTATGCTCGGAGTTTCTCTGCGTGATAGACTCAGAAATGAGGATATGATATTATATCATGATATATTATCTTTGTAATATATCATGATATATTACAAAGACAACGTTATGTTGTCATGATGCTTATGATATATTACAAAGACAACATAACGTATCTATCCTTTAACAACTTTTATACACATGTAATAACTAGAAAGACTACTGGCTACCCATGTGTTATCGTTAGCGTCAGTCAGAATCGTCAGTCCACTGTTGGACAAGTAACTTATAACAAAAAAACTCTACTAAATTGTCGATGCAGATTCCGTCGACATGGTAGAATCCAAGATGTTCAATATTCGATTGTTACAATAATTTTAATATAAAAAATATTTAATAAAAAATTATACATATTTGGTTTCATAATCAAGTCTACTATGATTGAAAAATAGTGTATGCACGAAGATTAAAGGTCTTTGTTCATCTATCGATTATAAAATCCCTCAACGTAATTAGTTGACTGACTGAATTAATCAAAATAAACGAATGATAACATTTATCCTCCGACATGTCTATCCTGAATATTATGGTATATTAAGATTATTATAAGATATTATTGCTCTTATAGAAAACTGTAACGAAAAGATACAGTTACGGACCTCGTTCTGCCCACCTACTTTAACCATAATAAGTGTGATCCCATCGCACGAAAATTACTAAAATTACCGACACAAATATTTTGAACCGTTACAAAGATCACAAAAAAGCTACGCTACATTAAATATAATATTTATAAAGAAACTAGTGATCCGCCCTGGCTTCGCATGAGTGATTTCTGAATCTCGCCAACAGCGCCACCTACTGGGTCAAAATGTGAATCTAAGCCATATAGGGGTCCATTCATACACAGAAAAAATTTCATAAAAATCTTTCTAAGACTAACGGAAGGCAATTGATTTTTATACCGGTTAAACTTTTTTAACGTTTGGGAAAAAATAGGATGTAATATGTGAACAGAAGGCACTGATTTTTTACAAAAAGTAAAAACAAATTTTTAAATTAAATTAATTAATTAATTAAAATCTATCGAAATTCAAATCATATCAGAAAATTCCGAATATAATAATTTTCTCCTGTTTTCGATACCGTATGCCCTAAATCAATAAAGATAATATTAACTTATATACAATAGGTAAATATAAATAAATAAATAAATAAATAATTTCAATATAGATTACAAGTAATTCTTATTGAAAGTCAATATTTTACGTTACTACTGTTTCGAAAAAAAACCTCTGTCCTGGGAAGAACCAGCAAGAAACCCAGCGGGACTTCTTTTTATAATTATATAGTACATACTTTCACCAAAATAATTAACGTACTGAAATTCATAAATTATAGGCGAAGTAAGCATCGAACTAAAAGTTGGATTGAACGACAAATTCAGCATTGCAGTGGAAAAAAATGTTTTCCAAAATACCTTAAAAATACTAAGTAATGAACAATTATTTATATATATATAATATCAATACTAGAGTCAGCATCCGGGTCCATCTTCAGATCAGCTACGGTACCATATTATTGCATTCTCATCGATATATCTATATACATAGTAATAGAAGATAATAATAAGCCAAAATTCAGTTAATAAAAACTTGTGAAAAAAATGAACATAGAGATTCTATGATTTTGAATTATTTCCGGTAATTTGGATTGCAAACTTCGAAAATAATTTAATATTTTAAGTAGTATAGCCATGTTGCAGCTGTATTACGGTTGTAGCACAAATGGTTGACGACTAAAATGGAATGCCTCGTTTCCAGTGAAAAGTATCTCCAAATCTCTACACTCACCATACGAAACACAGCAGCACTGATGTGCTGTTTTATGCTGGTATTTTAGGCGAGCTTGGTACTTCCCTGGTCCAGCCGACCCATTCGCACTGCAGCCATAATACTTAATCGTATCTAGCAATTATATAATACTCTTTATACGACTCTTTATATATACTCAACTATACTCTTATTAATAACAACTCTTTGGCTGCACTGTGGCTCTATCACGTATATATATATATATATATATATATATATATATATATATATATATATATATTGTACGAACATATTAACCGTAAAAACATTACCCAGTTATTAAAATTATTCGATTAACACAAATACAAAAAAGATGTTAGTCATCATTATCTAAAGCTGAGATCATGTATGCACCAATCGTGAACTTTTCTAAGCTGCGTCCTTTAAACATCGTGATACGTGACCATTGGCTTAAACTCATTGAATCATAGGTCAATTTTCAACAACTATATTAAGAATGAAGTGTTCTTTATTACATTTCAAATGCTTTGAAGTTATAAAGTGCTTTAAAAAATACAAGAAACTATAATTTACGAGAAGAAATTTAAAAATAAAGCTTCAGTGCAACAAAAAAATAAAAGATTTTTATTAAGCTGTTGTTTTTTTTATATTATACGCAGAAAATTGGAAAATTCAATCAAAAACACTTATCAGTAGATCAAATGTCAAAGGTGTGTGAAAGGCGACTCTTGTTTTTCTTAATCTGACGCACGCATGTTATGTGTTTTTCTTTTCATGCGCAGGTATTCGATAGTTAAAACATACAAAACCAATTAGATACAATAGAGCATTATCTGAAACGAATCATAAATTACTTGTACCGACGACACCCGAAGAGAAAATAATGACACAGCTCTTGTACGCGGTAAAAACAACGAGGCCACTAACCTGCAATAGCCACGGTCGCAACGCCGACCAACACGAAGATTATGACGCACTGCATTGTAGGTTGTAACGTCGTACCTCGGCAGATACTGGTTCCGAACTGACTATTCCGTGCTCACTTGCATCTTATATAATATGTAGAAGCCTCCCGCTTAAAGCTTTGCTTGCACTGGAGCTTTTCTTTGCACGCCCATTAACGGTCACATACAGCAAAAACTTGCCATCAAATTAAGTATTAAATATAACTGAACTATCAACAAAAACTAAAACTAGTTGATTTTTTAGTAAGATGTAACGAAAGTTAACTATACGAGTGAGCAAAAATGACAACTCAGAAGCTGGACGTCCATTGAAGTAGATATTTGCAATTTTAATACCGATGTAGATACTATTCTCTCAGCTGTGAAAGAAAACACTGTAAGAAAGCCTGTATCTGCAAAATAATTCAAGAATATATGAAGATGAATTGTGAAACCCTATGTGTTCTTTTTTTATAGAATAAGGGTGACAAATGATTACGGTCCGCATGATGGTAAGTGGATACTGTGGCCCATAGACATCTACATTTAGCCTCGATCAAGAATCAAAAGTTACTATTTTATGCTGGTTTTCTGTAAGAGCGTGGTCCTTTCCCGGTCGAGCCAACCCATTGAACACTGCTGAACATTTTCCGACGTTATAGAGCCACGCTGCAGCTATAATATTAATTGTAGCACGAATGGGTCTACTCGACCAAGGTATGACCACGCTCTCACTGCTGCTGTGTTCCGTATGGTGAGTGTACTCGTAGATAACGTTTTCGCTGGAAACGAGGCATTCCATATTGGTCCTCAGGGGTGACAACGCATCTGTATTTATTTCTTAATCGAGGATAGATGTGCATGTGCTCGTTTGTCATCCTTATTTTATAAAAAAACAATCTTCCCCCAAGAAAAAAATAGATTAATGCAAATAAATAAAATTGAAGTTTCTGTTTGTAATGTTAATATAACAGGTTTTTACAAAATGCATATGAAAGTATATACGGTACTACAAAAACAAATTTTAAGATTTTTGCTTGTCTAACTATCTATTTGGCTGTCTGTCTGTTTGTTCCCGCTAATCTCCGAACCGGCTGAACTGATTTAGACGGGACTTTCACTGGCAGATAGCTGATATTATAAGGAGTATTTTAGACGACTTTTATTTTGGAAATAGAATTAGGGTGCGGCGCAAAAAAATTAAAACCCTTTAAATACAACCGTAATAACTTCCACGCGGACGAAGTCGAGGGGGAACAGCTATAGATAATTATAAGAGATATGAAATAATTACAGATAACTAAAGAGATATGGAATAATTATAGATACCTAAAGAGATATGGATTAATTATAAATACCTAAACAAATGCTGATGCCCATACATACTAGCGCAGAATATAGGCACTTCTTAATATGTAGTTCCTGAATAGAGTTCAGGAAGTACCTACATGTTCAAAGTTTATATGGTTCATAGATGCACCCCTACATAACTTTAGTTAGTTAGACGTAGTTAGAGGAAATTAAGATGCCACGCCTAATAGAACTTAAAAAAAAATTTTGGTATATTCTGACAGGACAATTAAAGGAAGAAATGATGAAAGACTTACAGACAGACAGCTAGAGGGAAATAAAAAAGTTATTTATATCTTAAACGGCTGCTCCCCGATGGATTGGATGTAATTGGTTTTAATTTTTTTAAATATATTTACATTTTTATAACATTAGGCTATCTGCCAGTGAAAGTGCCATCAAAATCGGTCCAGACGTTTAGAAGATTAACTGGAACCATCGATATAAGTATATGTACTACGCACTAGATTTGGCATTCCGAAAACTCACTATGTTCAACTGCACTGTACTGCAATCCGTACACCTGTTATTGTGGCTTCGATATTCATGCAGTGCGGAATAATTTTATATTAAATTAGCACATATGCAAAATAAACGAAAATTGAAAAAAATGTACTCGATTAACAATACAATTTAAATAAACAATTATTCATTATGAAAATTTTCGCGCGTTTATATCAACTGCGCATGCGCGACTACTGTTTCCTGCGCATGTGCGGATACAGAGTAGTGCACATTTTTTTGTTTGGAACAGCTTCTCTAGTACGTAGTACATATAACTCAATGGCTGAAACAGACAGACAGACAAACAAAGTGATTTTTGTTGTAAGTACCGTATATACTTTCATATGCATTTAGTAAATAATCATCATCATTACAGCCCTTCACAAGTCCACAGCTGAACATAGGCCTCCCCCAAGGTATGCCACAAAGCACGGTCCTGAGCCACCTGCATCCATCGACTTCCTGCATGTCTTACCAGGTCGTCACTCCATCTAGTGGGTGGTCGCCCTACACTTCGCCTACCGGTACAAGGCTGCCACTTGTTTCCCCAACGGTTGTCGGTTCTTCGAGCTATATGGCCGGCTCATTGCCACTTCAGCTTACTAATCCGTTGGGCTATGTCGGTCATTGTGCTTCTACTGCGAATATCCTCATTTCTAAGTTTATCACGCAGAGAAACTCCGAGCATAGCCCTCTCCATAGCTCGCTGAGCGAGTTAAAGCGTCCTCATACAGCCAGCAGTGAAGGACTACGTTTCAGTTCCGTAGGTCATCACTGGCAACACGCACTGGTTGTACAACTTAGTTTTCAGGTTTTGAGGTATACATGACGAGAAGATGCGTCGTAATTTCCCGAACGCAGCCCAGCCGAGTTGAATCCGTCGATTGACCTTTCGGTCGAAGTTGGACTTACCTAGTCGGACTATTTGCCCTAGGTAAACGTACCCGTTAACAACTTCGAGCTTAGTGCTCCCAACAACTACCGGCATAGGTGTGACACGGACATTAAACATGATCTTTGTTTTGTCCATGTTCATCTTAAGACCTATCCGTTGGGAGGCACTATTGAGGTCATTGAGCATAGTGCTTAAGTCCTCCAGCGATTCTGCCATAAGGACTATATCGTCGGCAAATCGAAGGTGAGTGATGTACTCGCCATTGATGTTAATACCGTATCCTTTCCAGTCCAGTAGCTTGAAAACCTCTTCCAATGCAGCGGTGATGAGTTTCGGGGAAATAACGTCACCCTGTCTTACACCTCTCTGCAGTTGGATAGGTTTCGAACTCTGGTTCTGTACTCGGATAGCCATCGTAGCCCTACTGTACAAACACTTCAGCAATTTGATTTACCGACAGTCTACTTGGCACCGCTGAAGAGACTGTAGCACCGCCCAAATTTCAACGGAATTAAAAGGCTTTCTCATAGTCCACATACGTCAGGCAAAGTGGCAGATTATACACTTCGGACTTCTGTACAATTTGCCGAAGGGTATGTATGTGGTCTATGGTACTAAAGACTTTTCGGAAACCGGCTTGTTCGGGAGGCTGGAAGTCGTCGAGCCTGCGTGCGAGACGATTCGTAATGACTCGAAAACAGCATGTAGACGCGGCTCAGAAGAGATATCGGTTAGTAGTTCTTCAAGAGGGCGTTGTCACCTTTCTTGAAGAACAAGACCACCGCACTTCTGCTCCACGCCTCCGGAGTAATGCCACCATGGAGGACGGAATTAAAGAGCCTCTGAAGGACTTCAAGCACCGGTTTTCCATCCGCTTTCAGAAGCTCCGCTGTAATTCTATCCTCGCCCGCGGACTTGCCGTTTTTAAGCTGCTGGAGAGCCATTCTAATCTCGCTCAGACTGACGTCCGGAATATCATCGGAGTAGTGTCGAATAAGACTTGCTCTTGGATCGTTACTCACACTTGCGTGTGGCTCCAACGATGATGTGTATAGCTGCCCATAGAACTTAGATTTCTGCCCATAGAACCTCTCAATCTCACTCAGAATCTCAAGTGTCCCGGAAACGATGCTGCCACACTCAGTCTTCAGCTTTGACAGTTGACTCTTACTGGCAGACAGATCTCTGGCAAAGACTTTGGAGCCCTGTTTCCGCTCGATCGCTTCTTCAATACTTACTTAATTAAAGTTGCGCAAGTCTCGCCGCATGCATTTGGAGATCTGTCTGTTCAGTTGCCTGTATGCTGTCAAATCTGTTGACGAATTGCAGCCTCATATCCCGTCTAACAGCCATGAGATTAAAATTGTGATCGGAGAGTTTTTGTGTTCTTCTGCGACGGGTCTTGCAGAACTTAGCTCCGAACCGCATGGACAGTTTCCACGAGCTTGTCATTCATATCGTCCTCTGCATTGCAATCTTCTAGGCACTGAAAGCGGTTACGTAGCTCGAGCTGAAAGCTTTCGGGATTCTGGATTAGAGCACGAGGGGGGACGGAGCGTTGACTTCATTAGACGAGACCTCTCCAACTTAACGTTTAGGTTCAGTGTGCCTCTAACCATTCGGTGATCGCTGCCAGTTTTCACCCTTGCGATCACTGAGACATCACTGAACAGTTGGCGTCTAGTCGTCACAATGAAGTCAATTCATTTTTTGTTGAACCGTTGGGGCTCAACCAGGTCCACTTCCTGTGGAGCCGCTTCTGGAAGAAAGAGTTCATCATAAAGAGTCCCTCTTTCTCCATAAAGTTGGCCAGCTGCTGGGCCCTACGGTTCCGTTGCCCTACTCCAAATTTCCCTAACTTCAGCTCACCGCTTTCTCTTGTGCCTAGTTTTGCGTTGAAGTCTCCCATCAACACCGTGTAGTGGGTTTTGGAGGAATGCATGGCTTTGGAAATATCCTCATACATTTCCTCCACCTCCTCATCAGGATATGCCGAGGTTGGTGCGTACACCTGTATGACCTTCAGCGAATACCGTTTGGTGATTCTGAGTATCAGGTATGTGACCCCCGTCGATACAATCTTTACAACGTTGTTGACGAGAGACTTGTGGACGATAAATCTCTCACATACCTCCTTGGGACAGATGGTCGTCCTCCCGGTGATAGAACAAGTTGCCGGATTTGAGGATTACCGTGTCCTCCACCTCTCTTCGGACCTCGAATAATCCAAAAATATGCCAGCGCAACTTTTCTACCTTTTCTTCCAGCTCCAGTATCTTCTCGTCAGCC